ATAATTCCTTGGCAGTGGATAGTCGTTAATGATCCTTTCGGGGAAAGGCGTTTGATATGCAGGGCGGTTGGCCATCTGAGGATTCAGGCCGAAATGCACTCTCAAAACTTGCGCAATCTCTTCAGGATCCACACGAGGGTGTTGTTGATCAGGGATGAAGATGGGATCTTGTATATGTGCTCCTTGCCTCTCTTCTCTGACAACGTTTGGTTGCAGATTGTCAACTCTTGGTCCCAAAGGAACATTATTAGGAAAAGTTAAAGGAGTCTTTCCCCTATCTGTTCGGTTGAAATTCGTAGCGCTTGGCAATGTACTGTCAACATATGATGGTCCTGCGAAATATGCTTGCATTCTTGATGGTGATATCCCTAGTGGCGTCTGAGTGGGTTGGAGGGTAACCCTTGACAAAGCTTGAACTAACATGTTCTGCACGAGATTTTGTTGCTCACACAACATGATGTTCTGTTGTTCGCGCAACATATTTTGCATCGCCGAAGTTTGCTGATTGTTCAATTGTTGAACATAAGACAACCAATTGGTAGGTGGTTGGGGAATCTCCCCTGGATTTGGCATGACGGGTGGTGAAACATTTTTTCCCACCGGTAGTGATGATGATTGAGGTTGTGAGCCTGCCATATCGATCTTTCTGATGATTCGGCCAGACCTTAGTCGTATGAAATTCTCTGTTGATGTAGGATCAGCAATCTTGTCTTTCTCCCACTGTGGTCGCCAATTTGTTGATGTATTTTTTCAACAATAAAAAGTAAAATCCAAAAATAGGAAATTATCTTCGAATTTGATATATTTAGCATCTGAGATTAGAAATCGCTAAACAGTGTATGGTACAGAAAATAAACTGGAAATTAAAATACTAGAAATTTAAATGATGATCCCTGAATGACTGACTTTGTCGTTATTTGAAGATGATTGAAGATCCTTTGTCAGTTACAAATCTCAATCATTAAATACTCTTCAGAAACGGTACTGGAAAGCGTTGCCCGAATGGTTACAACGCCTCTTTTTCAACCGTCTGCTAACTCTTCGTTTGCTGACACGTGCCCTCAACCGACCAAATTATTACTCTCACTCACTCTCAACAGTATCCGACCTCCACACCAACCGATTTGCCTATCCAACCACGAATCTTCCGACTTCTTGGACCGACCGCAGACCTTCCGCCTTGTTGGTCCGACCACAAACCTTCCGACTTATTGGTCCAGCCGCAAATCTCCCGACTTACAGACCACCCGACTTGTTGGTCCTCCCGACCTGTAAACTGTCCGATCTACGGACTTTTCGACCCGCGGACCTTCCGACCTGCAGACCTTCCAACCCGTAGACTTTTCGACCCGTGGACCTTCTGACCTGTGGACCTTCCGACCCACAGACCTTCCAACCTGCGGACCTTTCGACCCGCTATTTCCTTAGAAATATATCTATTTCACCTGATTTTCTCGCAACACTCCTTAATCAGTCCAACAAACCCAATTATAGGCCCATTTTTTTCTTTTAACTTGGACTTTTTAACCTAATTATAAATTTCATACGTAACAGAACTTAAATGCAAATACCTGCGACTCCAGAAACTCCTCTTGGAGGTGCACGACCTGCTCCAACAGCTTACAGAGGTGATACTAGACGACATCCCCCGTGAGGAGAATTCGGAAGCAAGCAACCTTGCTCAATGGGCATCCTGGTATCGAGCGGCGGAACCAGCCACTAAATTTGAATGCTTAAATACCAACAGGGTTGTAGATTGGCGCACGGAGCTCCTCGAGGCACTGCCAAACCCCGGAAAAGTTGGTTCGAGACACATGCGGGATATTTTCTGAAATATACGTGCATTGATGGTGAACTCTATCACCGATGAACTCATGGAACATTGGCGCGATGGTTGGGGCGAGATGAAGCGATGAAAGTGATGGCCAAAGTACACGAGGGAATCATAGGTACACACAGGGCTGGCCCGATTATGAGATGGACTATCCTCCGGTATGGATACTTCTAACCCCAGATCTCGCAGGATTGTATCGATTATGCCCGGGGATGTCCTTCATGCCAATGCCATGGCCCTTTACAACGCACCCCGACCAAGGAACTTCATTCAATCCTCAATCGTGGCCCTTTCGAGGATGGGCAATGGACATCATTGGTAAAATCCATCAGCCATCATAAAAGGGACATGTATTCATTCTCGTGGCCACCAATTATTTTACGAAATGGGTAGAGGTTGTCCCGTTGGTCCAGGTACAGCTGGATCATTTTATTCAATTCATCAAGAATAATATTATTCACCGTTCGGCATACCAAAGACCATTACGACCGGCTGAGGGATAGTGTTCACTAACGGGAAGCATCTAAAGCCTTTTTATCCATCATTTTGGGATCTCGAAGAATGTCTCACTCAACAACAGCCCAGAACAGCTCCTGGCGATGCTCAAAACATATGATTCCAACCAGCAAAGTAGGATATCACGGAGGATCGGACCTCTGTATCTAGCAGGTCATCAGACAGGTCAATCGAGGTACTACGGATGAGGCCATTTGAGAAGATATAAGGATTTTCTCTCACTAGGAACGAAGGAAATGGTCCTTTCTTCCACTGGAGAAGAAAAGAATGATGACGGTGGTGTGGAAGCTAGTGAAAAAACTTCTCTGGGCAACGCATACGGAAGTGTTTGTTTGGAAAATATCAACACATCAACCAAAATAATTTTGGACTGCAAAAGACACTTTCGTCAAAAATATTCTTGTGGGGGGGGGGCATTTGTTATCCGAAAAAAAAATAATTTTAAGTCCAGCCCGGATAAACTAGAAACAGGCCAAAGCTCAACAAAATCGGCCCGGAGGAGAAGCAACCAAGTCCAAATGAAAGCCAAATTGGTAGCCCAAGCAAATAGGCTTAAAAAGTTTGCTGTTCAGTCCAGCCAGAAGCCATAAAACAGGCCCAATAACCCTAGTAGGACCAAGCGCGAAGGAGTCTTACAACTACGGATAAAGGAAAGTGGAGGAGTGAAAAAGAGTTGTTCCTAAGGTGGAGAAAATCTTTGGAAATGCCTATAAAAAGGCAAAAGGGAAGAGAGATAAACAAGAAAAAGAAACATCACCCGATCAACACACCTGCATAATTCAAATCTCATTCCTGCAATTTATTTCATGTCCTTGCATTATTATTTTTTTCATATTCTATTGCTAGTATTAATTGTCCAATTTAATTCAAGTTCTTCCTTAATTATTTTTTCTTCTACGTTTTTTTTTTTCTCTGTCTTCTTCATACTTCAACATAGCAATGCCTATATTATTTTTCCATCGATTCATTTTGATCACGAGACTTACCCCGGATACTTTCTTGAGTAGGCCGAGGAACCTGATTATTGTCGATTTCGACAGGCCTAGATTTATTAGGCCGTCATCGACGAATTTCAGCGACAATAGTATGAATTTAGGCTTAATCATATGCATATAAATCAGCTATTTGCAACCACACAAAGAAACCTTTCGGTCATTCGAATTCCTGCCAATAACATCTTTTCAAATCCTTACATAATACTATCTTTCGTAACTCAGATGATAGCATTCGGCCAACTACTGTATAAGAATCGTCCATAATTTTATGTTGACAGTTTTTAATTTGAGTCACTACCAAACAAAGGGGCTTTCATTACGAAAGGAAGATTCGTATTGAGTGGAACTATAAGGATTTATGGATCTACTTTCACAACTTTCACGTATGGCTTCCAAAATTAAATAATTATTACTTAAACTAAACCTTATTTTGTTTGTAATTGCAGCTCATGCGCCACCCCCAAAGCATATCGACCGGTTCCTTTATGTTTTGTCTCTATTTGCATTATCAATTGCATGTCGTGGATGTGTTTGGATGGTAGGTTCTTATGGCTATGTGAAATACCTATGGAATAGATGCATAGACATTTGGATGTATCTTTTGTGTGGTAAGAATTGTTGCTATGGATTGATGGATCTCCCCACTTGCTTATTACTAGTTTGGATGTTTGAAATGCTTGTGTTTGACGGAGCATAATGTCGAAGTGGAGATGTTGCTAGCCTTGTTCGATTGGTCAATTTACTTTGTTATTTGCTGGAGGACATCGACTAGTAAATACTGTTATGTTAATATCCTATGTTGGGATTTTCTTATAGTGTTTATTGTTTGCAATTATGGCCGATCGTAATATTTATAGCATGGTTGTATAAGAAAGATCACAACAGGTTTATTTGTTACGCACAAATTCAACTGTTCCAAACACTACAAGAAAAGAGCAAATTACTCACGGAAATTATTCACGGAATTATTTCCATGAGTAATATGTCTTGGTTACTCATGAAATTACTTACGAAAATAATTTTGTGAGTAATTAGGAACAAAATTACTTACAAAATTTCTCACATGAGTAATTAGGGATGAAATTACAAACGGAAATTCATTCCGTGTATAATACATACGGAATAAAACATTTACTCACGTAATTATTCACAAAATATAGCTTTGTGAGTAATTAACGATGGAATAACCCATGGAATTAAATTCCGTGAGTAATTATTTTTTAATATATTTTTTATTTTCCTTTTCTTAAATTTAAATATTATTTAAAAATAATTAATTTCAATTTTAATTTTATTTAGATATATATTTATTATTTATTTATTTTTTAAAAATTATTAAATAATAATTAATTAGTTAAATTATCACTCTATATAAAAATAATTAAAATAATAATTTTAAATTACAAATTAATTATTAAAAATATTAATGTATTAAATAATAATATAATTTAAATTAAATATAATTATTTAATCAAATTTATAAAATTTAAAATATAAATATTTAATAAATATTTATTTTTATTAATGTTAATATTATTTTAATTTTATAAAAAATTACTACTATAATAATAAGTCTGTTGTGCTTCTTCGCCACCTTCCTTTGGAACCGGTAGGTTATAGTTCGGTTCAATTACAGTTCTGGTTCAAACCGGAACTTGAGTTTGAAACGGGCTATTCTTCAAAGCTGATGAACAAGTCTTAACCTACCCGTTCTCAATCTTCGCGTGCTATACATCATTCTAGACTGCTGCGGTTAATTTTTGGCATTTGATAGCGACGGTGGTGGTGGTGCTTTGAACGCCAGGCAACAGTCTTCGGTGGCAATGGCTCTTAGATTCTATCTGGAAGCACCACCGATGAGTGAAAGATATATATATAATAGTTTTTATATTATTTAATGGTTGATCAACCTAAACCTCCTTCACACTCGCTTTCATGGCTTTTTCTGCAGATTTTAATTTCTAATCTCTCCTCGTTCATCTGATTTGTTCTTGCTGCTAATTTCCACTGCGCATTTTTTTAATTCAGAGTAAGTAGGTTTTCTAGATTATTTATTTATTTACTTTTCTAAATTTGTGTTTTGTGGATTATGTTTGTTAAAATATTGCTTGGACTAGTTCTTGGCCTTAGCTAGACACCTCTAGATTGGCTCTGTTACTTAATCTAACACTAGGCTGAAATTGTTATGTTGTTATACACTTAAAGATTGAATGTGAGCTATTCAAAACTACTGTTTCTGGAATTACTCGCATTGGATGTAATTCCTTGTAATGACAGTCATGGTACCCCAATGAATCCTCCTGCTAGGTGGTGGTAATAGTCGTAGTCGAATGATATGGACAATGTAGGATTGCTTCCATAAACAAAGAGAATTGTAATGTGATCTTGTTCATTTCCACTACTTTCTGAAACATAGTTGACAGTCTATCCAGGGGCTGTCCACCGTGCAATACTCGATGTTTTAGACATTTAGGCCTTAGGTTCTACTTGTAAATATGATCTTATCCTGCAAATAGGTTGTTGATGTTATACCTAGTGGAGATGGGGCTCTGGTGTTGTTCACCACTTCGTGCATTTTCTTGGCCTTTTAGTGTCCGGTCAAATTCTGAGATTTTATTTTCTAATATATCCATTGAATTTGAGGATTAAAGAATGGATAACAATGGTGAGGTTCTCTGAGATCACCTATCTGCATAAGTTTGTACAGTTTTTAGTTGATGTATAGCTTACTTCTTAACAAGTGTGCTGTTATTTTACTTTTGTTGGGTCGTAGGTTTTTAGATGTCTTGAGGAACAGGATCGTGATCTCACCACTAACCCAATTATGTGAGATTGCAAGACAGACATGATCGTGTGAGTATGTTAGCCACATGGTGTACCTTGGTATCGTAGTTTAAATTGGCGGGCATAACTGATATTCTAAAACCTTTTGAGATGTTGAGAGGAAGTTTCACCAAAAATTAGGATGATTTAAGAGGGCAATGACTTGTGCCCTTACAGGGGAATCAAGTGTGAGCTTGTGTTTTTAACTACAATTGTACAGCAAATAGGAGGTGCACAACTTCCTCTTCGACATTGAAAAATATTTCGAAAGCGCAGGCATCTCTGTTGAAGAAAAATATTTACATATCCTTTTACAACATTTCTCCTTCGTAGGTGCTATGTTGCAAAAAGTTTGTTAGTTTGTGATATGAATCCAAAATTATGGAATTCAATAGAAAGTGTTGATCAAGTCTTACGGGTGGGGTATGGAAAAGGTCTAGACTTTAATTTTACATCTCATTATGCTTTAATTTGCTCCCATTTGCTTTATACAGAGCTTAGGCTTTAGCTGTTCTAGAGCAGTAGTAACAATTCCATGGCAAGAATTCAGATCTGTTTCAAGAAAAGATTTTTCAAAAGCCTTAATTCACCTATACTACTGACTGCCCTTTGCCTTAATTTCATTCGACTCAATCTTTAATTTGCCTTTTTCTCATCTTTCTTAAGGAAGCTCTGATGATACGCAACACCTTTTTTAAGGGTTTCTTTGAATAAAAGTGACTGCTCTGTTAGCAATATTGGATCTTGTAGTATATCTTCAAAAAAATTTAAAAAAAGGGAAAGTGACATCTCCCCCGAAAATCAGTGAAAAAAAATGTAAAGGAAGAAAAAAATCATTTGATAATAATGAAGTAGTGATGAGGAGAGAGAGGGAGAAGGAAAGAGAGAGAATGGTAGTGAGATAGTGATCTATGTATGTATCTAGGCAGAAACATTGAAAATACAAATGAAATGGTGAGCTAAGTAGCCAAAGTGATGAAGATAATTAATGTCTGGCCACTAATTTTGTTTTACTGGTTGTCTGTATTTTGTGTTCTCCTTCAGCCTCGAAGAAACGACAGAGAGTCCCCTCTGCTTACAAAATAAAGCATTAAAGATTAGAAATTAAATAATACAGGGATGGGTTATCTTCTTGCCCGTTTTTGTTTTTCTCCTCTGCTGCTGCTCATGATTGCACGGATTTAGGTTTTTAGAGAGAGTGTGGATGTGTTTTCTCTTTGGTTTATGTTGTTGGAGTTTTCTGTCTACTGTGTTTTTATTTTTTTATCACTTTCCCAAAAGTGCCACATCTGCTCACTTCGATGATTCTGTTTCCATCACTTGTTTGATACCAGAGGTTTAGGAAGTAGCTGTTTGGGTTGAGGAAGTAATTGCTGTTTGTTCATCTTTTATTTACTTCTTATTGTTGTTATGATATAAATTATTAATAAACAGATAATTTTAAATAATATTTTTAAAAAATATTGATATATTGTAAAATGATATAAATTATAATAAAATATAAGTAAAAGTTAATTTTATAACAAAAAAAAAATTAAAATTAAATACATATATAAAAAATAAACAAATAGGCCTTTATGTTGTGTATGTAGGCGTATCTTTTGTCTTAGTTTTGTTATTTGCATTCTAGGTTTTGTAAGTTTGGATTTTGGTCATTATCAACATAGCAAAAATTTCTATATATATGAAGCCTACAAAGGTTTGTTTAGTTGTAGTTTCGCTGTAGATTGTGCAAGCAATACATACATACACATTTCTATATATAAATTCTTTGACTTTTATGTTTTGCTCTGCACAGTATATATTAAATACCCTTTTATTCTAAATGTGCTTACACACATTTTGTCTCATCATTGCAATCATATAATATAAATAAATAAACATATATATATAGCACCAACGGCTCATAGTACACCATTATATACAAGGCTACATTAAGATCTTCAAAAATATTTTGATATTTTGTATTTAATGTAATTCATCCAATTTTTTTGATATAAAAAATATATTATTACATCTAATTAAACACACTTTTAGATTATTTTTAAAGTAATAAATATTTTATTGGACTTTAATATGTCTCTTCTTATTTTGTAGTTGTTGAAGAAATTGTTAGACGTTTATAAGCTCGACTATTTTTTTATGCCGCCTGGAGAAATCAAGATCCTTTATTTCTCGAAATCCAATTGCACTTTTATCCTTGTCAAGAACAAAGGTAATACATATATATTTATGTATATTTATCATTTTATGGTATTTGAATTTGAGTTATAAATCATGAGCTTTCAGATTATATATTAGGTTTAATTTGTGATTGGAAGAATGATTACAACATTGGATGATCTTTGTATTGTAGATTACTTTGATCAATTACAAAGATTTGTGTAAATTTTTTGTTTCAATTTTGGAGATTTCAATGGTTGATTGTCATCGAATTGATGAAGAATTTTTACTTGTGCAATAAATATTATTTCAGAGGCGAGTAACTTAGACATGACAGCTCCATGACGAGCTTGGATGTATGACAGGATGCACAATGGTATTCTAAACAGAGACTTTACTAATAGGGTTAACGAATTTTTGAATTACTGCATGAACAACCCAGATATTTATAAGATTGACAATACTATACGTTGTCCGTGCAAGCGTTGTAAGAATATCAGGTTTCTAGCAGTAGATGATGTCAAATATCATCTGTACTCTAGAGGTTTTGTACCAAAGTACGATAAATGGACATGTCATGGTGAGAAACATGATGGAAGTGGTAGCTCACAACAATATGAACCATTGAGAGTTGAAAATATAGTTGATCCAAGGATGGGGGATTATACTCAAATGGTGATGGATGCCGGAGGGCCCACATTTGAGGCACACGTAGTGCAGGATGAAAAACCTAACCCATAAGATAAAAAAACTGTACGAACTCCTTCAAGCAGCCGATCAGGAACTATGGCCTGGTTGTACGAAGGCAACGTTGTTGTCTGCTGTGGCAAGAATGTTGAATATTAAGGCTGACTTCAATTTGTCTGAAAGATGGTTTGATGTCCAGTGCCAGCTTATGCATGATGTGATGCCCGAGGGCAACTGTTTCGTAGAAAGCTTCTATGAAACAAAAAAAATTGATTGAGGGATTAGGCTTACCGTGTGAGAAGATAGATTGTTGTCCATTTGGTTGTATGCTATACTGGAAGGAGGATGTAGATTTGGATCAATGTAATATATGTGGAAAATCACAGTATATAGAAAAGAATAGGAAAATGGTGCCTATCAGATATATGTTTTATCTCCCGATCACACCGAGGCTTAAGAGGTTGTACGTGTCCTCTCAGACAGCATCACATATGTGTTGGCATGCGGGTTATTGACATGCGAACGCCGATGATATGTGCCACCCATGTGACTCAGCGGCGTGGAAAATTTTAGATGCGAAATACTCTTCATTTGGAGTTGAGCCAAGAAATGTTCGATTAGGACTTTGCACAGATGGATTTCAACCATTTGGCCAGTCAGGAAGACAATACTCATGTTGGCCTGTCATTGTGACACCATATAACCTCCCTCCTAATATGTGTTTGAAAGACAAGTACTTATTTATATCTCTTGTGGTGCCTGGGGGGGCGTAACCGAAACAGAAGATCGATATTTACTTGCAACCGTTGATTGAAGAATTGAAGACTTTGTGGATCAATGGGATTGAAACATTTGATTCCTCTCGGAAGGAAAACTTTATTTTGAAGGCTGTGTTGTTGTGGACTATAGGTAAGCATCTTTTCAGTAATTATGTCTTATTCATTTGCAAAAATAACATGATCTATATTGAATCTATATATTTTCATATATAGGAGATCTACCAGCATACTCTATGATGTCTGGATGGGGTACTTCCGGAAAAACAGCATGTCCAATATGTCAAGATCAAACAAAAGCTTTTTATCTACCGAAAGGATGTAAGCAATCCAGGTTTGATACACATCGCAGGTTTCTTCCAAACGACCATCCTTATCGATCGGACAGGAAGAGGTTCAAGAAGGGGAATATAGAAAGGATACCTCCTCCACGTGTAAAATCCGGTGAAGAGCAAATTAGAGAGATTGATTAGTATGGTTTCCTAAAAGTAACCGAGCCAGAAGCGACAGATATAAATAGAAGGCTTTCGCAGGTGTGTGGGTGGCTGAAAAGAAGTATATTTTGGGACCTTCCATACTGGTCTGACTTGCAGATCCGTCACAATATTGACGTGATGCACGTTGAGAAAAATGTTTTCGAAAATATTTTCAATACGGTGATGGACGTGAAGGGTAAGACTAAAGATAATGCTAAGGCACGGGCAGATATGACTGAGTTTTGTGATAGAAAAGAGCTAGAATTTGATAACATTAGAAAATGCTAACCTGTTGCTGCATATACATTGGATAACATGCGTAAAAAAGAGTTTCTAACTTGGGTTGAACAATTGAAGATGCGTGATGGATATATGTCCAACTTGGGACAATGTGTCAACATGAGCAAATATCAGATGTTTGGCATGAAAAGCCACGATTGTCAAGTATTCATGCAACGTCTGATTCCGATTGGCTTTCGAGAATTGTTGCCAAAAAAGATTTGGGAAGCCATTACAGAGTTGAGTAACTTCTTCAGACGTCTAACATCAAAGGTAGTTTCATTGAAAGATATGGAACTTCTAGAAGATGAGATTCCTGTCATTCTTTGCAAGTTGGAGACAATATTTGTACCCGGGTTTTTCAACAGTATGGAACATCTGCCGGTACATTTGCCTTATGAGGCAAGAATAGCAGACCCAGTTCAATTTCGTTGGATGTATCCTTTTGAGAGGTAATATCTCGATCCTTAGAGTAAGTTAAAAAGACCTATACAATTGTAGCAAATAAATAAAACAACTTTTTCAAATGGATGCAGATTTATATATCGTTTGAAGCATATGGTGAATAATAAGGCACAAGTTGAAGGCTCAATTGTCAATTCTTTCCTAAATCGGGAGGCTAGTTTTTTTTGCTCTCATTACTTCGAACAACATGTGTTCACACGTGGAAGAAATGTGCCTAGACAGGATGATGGAGGATCGAGATTAACTCCAGATATTGGGATAAAAGTATTCTCACATCCTTGCCGCTTGCAAGGCAAGCCGAAGAAGTGGTATTTGTTGCCTCATGAAAGGAAAGCAATACAAGCATACTTTCTACTCAATGTTCCCGAATGTGATACCTTCATCTCGTAAGTTTATGTACACTTAAAAATATTAAGGTATTCAATAGAACTACCGTTAAAAATCTGATTTATGACTTTTCAAATTTAGGATCTTCGAAGAGACGTTGAAGCGAGAACATCCCTTAATATGAGACATCGAGGTTGCCTCGCACTTACAAAGGAATTTCACCTCCTGTTTTGCCCAATACGTGTGTTTTACCATTATGTCGCTCTAACCTCATCTTAAACAATCAGTGTAATATAATCGATCATACATTGCAGGTTACTGAACAAGACAACATTCCAAAAATTTATGAACACATTTCACACCGTTGGTGGAGGTCACTAGGTATAATAAGTGTTTCATTAATGGTCATCGTTTCTACACCAAAAAGTACGGTGCAAAGAAGGCTTCATACAATAGTGGAGTTTGTGTTGATGGTGGGGGTTTAGAGTATTACGGTCATATTCAAGAAATTTTGGAGATTGAATTTCCAGGACTACCGATCAAGCGATGTACTGTCTTTAATTGCGAGTGATATAATCCAACTTCCGGTGTTGGAACGAAGAAGCATGGAAGATACAATTTGGTGGAGGTCAATAAAAAGAAAAAACTCCATACTTATGAATCGTTCATACTTGCAATACAAACGACACAGGTATGTTATCTTCCATTCCCAAGTATGAAAAAGGACAAGGCTGATTGGTTGGCAGTATGTCGAGTCAGACCCCAGGGTTGGATCGATGTGAGTGGCGAGATCGTGGAAAGTCAGGAAGAAGTTGACACATAGCAGGATGCGATGGTGGAACCTTGCACTATTGAAACACCCACAGTAGGGGAGCAACTTTACTTGGCATAAAAAAAATGAGCAGACTCTCGTTTATCGCTCGCCTTTTGCACTTGAAGGTTTTGTGCCACTGGTCTAATAAATCTATTGACTTTTTGTTAGATTTGTTAAGGGATGCACTTACAGACGATGTTGTCCTCCCGAAGAACTTCTACGAGGCTAAAAGAATCACGAAGGACTTGGGGTTCACATTCAAGACTATCCATGCATGCATCAACAATTGCATGTTGTTTATCGGGGAAGATGTTCACCGTGATGCTTATGTTGTGTGTGGGGAAAAAAGATTCACACAGGGTAAAGATAGATCTCCCGTGAAGAAGTTGAGGTACTTTCCGTTGATTCCCCGATTGCAGAGATGGTTCTTATCTTCCAAAACTGCATCTTCTATGCAATGGCATGCCGAAGGGCGTGTCGATGATGGCAAGATGTGTCAGCCAGAAGATAGTCATGTGTGGAAGGGGTTTGATCATCGGTACACCACATTTGCTGTTCACAAAGTACGCCTTGGGTTGGCCACCGACGGTTTCAACTCTTTTGGAAATATAAGCGTCAACTACAACATTTGGCCCGTAGTACTTGTGATATATAATTTACCACCATGGCTATGCATGAAGCAACCATCGTTCATCCTTTCTACAATTATAGATGGTCCGCATGGCCCTGGGGATTGGATCGACGTTTTCCTTCAACCTTTGATGGATGAGTTGAAGGAGCTTTGGTATGATGGTGTTCGGACATACAATGCGAAAAGCAAGGAGGACTTCCAGATGCGAGCTGCGTTGTTGTGGATCATCAGTGATTTTCCAGGTTATGGCATGTTGTCAAGGTGGCCAACTCGTGGGGCGAATGCATGTCCTGTTTGTGGTGTGAAAACTCATTCCAGGTATCTAAAAATGGCCACAAATATAGCTATTGTGGGCATCGAAGGTTCCTACCGAGTGGGCATAAAATGCGCTATGATAAGCATGCATTTGACGGTATGATGGACTTTGAGACAAAACCGTCTTGTTTGACTTCCAATGAACTGCTCCAGCAGCTTCAGGATGTGCGAACTGAGTACCGTAAGGTTGATCTGATTCAGAAGGTTGTTGCACAGAGATCCCGAAAGCATATCCGGGAGGTAGATGTGTACCAACGTACATGGAAAAAAATAGCATTCTTTTCGAGCTCCTTTATTGGGCCGAGAACGAAGTACGTTACAACCTCGACTTGATGCACATTGAAAAGAATGTGTGTGAGAATGTATTGTATACATTGTTGGGGACTAAAGGAAAAACAAAGGATAACACAAGGAAAGACTTGCAGTTACTGCAAATACGCAATTCTTTGCACCCGGTCTCCGGCCCGAGGGATTCTATATACTTGTCTGCTGCTATGTACACTGAGTAACCCAGAAAAACGAATCTTCCTATATGTGTTGAAGGATCTACGACCACCTTATGGATTCAGTTCGAACTTATCGCGTCGTGTTAGGGTACAACAACAACTACTATGGGGTCTTAAGAGCCACGACAGCCACATTCTTATGCAACGACTTCTTCCTATTGCAGCCCGACGGTATACCCTTGTAACACAATTATATTACTTAACCCATCACGCTTCCTCTTAATATAATTAAAGGTGCCACTTCATCACTTCGTACAGGTGTCTTCCCAAGAATGTTGTGCTCGTGTTGATTGAACTTTGTAACTTCTTCAAGTCTGTGTGCTCAACTAGCAACATAGTTCATGAGCTGGAGCGAATACAAGAAAGAGTTTCGTTGACATTATGCCACCTTGAAAAGCTATTCCCACCTTCATTCTTCGATGTGATGGAGCATCTGCCAATCCACTTGGCTGAGGAGGCAATGGTCAACGGTCTGGTGCAGTACCGATGGATGTATCCCATTGAGAGGTACCTTGGTACTCTGAAGAGATATGTACGGAATCAAGCCCAACCTGAGGGTTCTATTGCACGTGGATACCTTATGGAAGAGTGTGTGACCTTCTGCTCAAGATATCTCGGGGACATAGAGACCAAAGAGAACCGGGGTGTTCAAGGTAATGAAGAAGGGACACAACACGAGAAAGGATTATTTGGTTCTAGGTTTAACCTTGATTACAATACGATGCGTCAGATTCATGGTTACATCCTAGGAAATGTAGATGCAATAAGTCTGATACGAAGGTTATTTCACCTCAACTTCACAATACTTGTATGCATTCTTTATTGATGTTCAATATATTCCAATTTTCTTTTTGCACTGTAGGATTCACGTTGACACTATTAGGTCCAGTCGAGGTCGCGCACCTCCACGTGAGGTGCAGCGCCAACACAACGAACAATTTGCATCATGATTTCAATCATACGTGAGTATCCTTTAAGAGTAACCCTACACGGGATCGCCCCAAAAACAATATAGAAACCATGAGTGTTCATCAACTACTTTACGTCAAATGTAGGTAGATGATCCAACGCATAACGATGTCTGCCCAATCTCGGATTGGATACGTGCATTGGCCCGTGGACCATCGTGTAGTGTAACGGTACTCTTCGTGCATTGTTTATGGAATACGTTATCAGGTTAAAGATCGGGATGCGGAAAAGATGACACAATGTGCAGGTGTTATGGTTACAACAGATACAATAAGTTACGCCTCCGCTAAGGACCATAACCCACGAGAAGGTTCTGTTGCATATTACGGAATTGTTACAGACATTGTAGAGGTGTACTATGACAATCTACAGAAGTACCTTCTTTTAAAATATGATTGGGTGGATCCAGAGAGAGGTGTTAAAGAAGATGAGTTCAAGTAAAAGCTTGTGAACTTCAATCATCTGATGTACCCGAAGAACTTGCCCATTGATAAGCCATTTGTCCAAGCAACCCAAGCCAATCAAGTTTGGTACATTGCAGACCCGGTTCAGGAGGACTGGAGTGTTGTTGCTCCGGTGACTCGGCGGGACACATATGATGTGTATAGTACAATCGATCATAGATTCAGTACTAGGTTTGATTTAGACGACGGAGGCAACACCAGAGAAGCTGCCGACTATTGGCTAAGGGAAGACGTTGAGGGTCAGCTACTTGATGGAACAACACAAATTGACAATGCAGAGATTTCAGCTCGGCATTCGGAGGAAACCTCCAAAGATGAATTTGCTAAGTGGTGAAGGAAGAAAGCAAGCATTTTTTATTGTATATAAATATTGCCTAGTGAACGCCCCCATTTTGACAGTGTGACAACCACACTTCCTTTTTGAGCTCCAGCATCAGAATAAATTTCACATCTCAACATATGGTACTTTTGTCGTAAGGGTGTATCGGTTCAAGTACGCCTTAGGTAACAACTTTGAGTCAATCATCTCGTTTCATCAACTCTGTTTTCTATCGTTGTATGTTATTCGTTAGCTACATGCAATGTTTGTTTTATTATGTTGTGACTTTTGTGTTGTTTCGCACAACTCCATAATGCTTATATGTTGTAGGTTATGGCAAAAACTCAACGAGGTGGCGTAGGAGGGTCCCAAGATCTGACTGGCTCGCCCGTAAGACATGTTACCCGGGCATCCGCACGCAACAGCCCCGTAGATGGAACTAATGTAGCTAGCAGGAACCCATCACCTATGTGGAAAACTGCAAAAAAAATGACAAAACGAAAGGGAACGCGGGTCTCACCATTGCTCCGGCAAATTCGCTCCATCACATCAGAGTGGGAGAAAGGGGGCAATATACATGCTCCCACCAAATCAACGACATCGTCTGTTCGACAGGCAGTGCTTCAGGATTCGCAGGGGCCTGCAGAGGTAATGTTGTTCTTTTGCGTAGATTGGTTCCTAATTGTCATTGACATAAGTCCGTAATGTGCTGACAGTATTAAACCCAACAAAAACATAATGCTAGGGATATCCCAGCTTCCCTTGAACCAAATGCACCCATGCAGGATGAGGATGAGACAATACCCCTCACACAAGTAGATGACGAAACAATCCCACCGATGCAAGACATGGAGACTGCAGAGAGTGATATGCCGTTCTTGGATGGGGAATTGGGGCCCGACCTTCTGGTGATGGAAGACACAGAGGCGGGCGATATGGCACACACTTGGATGGGATAACATCAGATGGCGGTTTGGAAATCATCCTTGACAGTTTATGTCTTGCATTAACTAATGACGAATGTGCTACACACGCGCCTTATAATAACATGTAATATCTTTTTTGTATTAGTTGGTTCCTCAAAGAAGAAACAGGGAAGGGGGTAGCGAGAATGCCACATGGATGAGGAAAAGATCACAAGATGCTTGTATTTACATCGACGGATGGAAAAAGCATTGTTGGACCTGACGTAAATGAGTACAAGACTGCTATTGGGGTTATTGCGCGCAATGGAGCTCGACTTCCTCTGCATTACCAGACATTTGCTAAAATACCGGAGACAAAGAGACAGGGTGCATGGATGGAGGTTCAGGTGATGCAACATTCATTAATTATAAATTCCTTCAATTTTTTTAGAGTTCTATTTAATCCCATACTATCTTGTCTGGATGGGGCGATAACCACGCCACATGTCCTACCAGAGCAACAACGGATTACCAAACTTAGCAGAGAAAGTGGTCTTGGCTGACTTAAGGGAGGTTCGGAGGCATTGGAAATACAGCATCAAATCAACTTACTTCATCCCAATCCAGGATGATAACAAAGCATTGAAAAAGGTTCCTTCAAGCTGGATTGTGGCTGATCAATGGCCGAAGTTGGTCGAGTACTGGCAGGACGAAAAGGTTAAGGTATGCAATAGAGACGAACAGTAATTTGAATATTATATTGGCAGAGTCCTATTTGAGATCTAAATAATTCGTATATATGTAGCTTCAATCCAAGAAAAATGCATCTAACGTACAAAAAAAGAAGCTTCCCGCATCGTACTGGGCGGAAGTCCTTCACGACTCTCGCCGATGAGGTACCTTTTATTACAATTAAGTAATCGGTCCAAATTTCTTTGTTTCTATGTTATGCTCTATCCATACGTTTTCCTTTTGTATAGTTGATGGGTTTTTCAATGACGCATTGCCTTGTGTTGATGCAGATCAAGGCGAAGGGGAAGGACCCCGACAGTTTAGAGATATGGATATCCAGTCGGACACAAGGCAAGGGAACATACAATCAACAAACCGAAAAGATATTGGTATAATAAATTCATTCCCTACGTTAATACAATTTAGACATTAATTACCTCTATAACTATACGTGCAAGGTCGGCCTCACTTGATTCCTTTGTTGTAGACATATTTGCAGAATGAGCTAAACAAGATTCCCCCGGAAGGGTGGACTCCGGCTGTTCGGGAGACTCTTTACCCATGGGCTGTTGGGGGAAAGAGCAAAAAATGCTCAAAGGTTGACAGTGCCGCCAGTTCAGCTCATCTCCGCAGTGATGCAACTGGTTTAACAGATAATGTAGCATTCCAGCAAAGGTAGGAAGAAATGCAGAGCGGACTTGCAGAGATTTTAAGGCAACGATGGCTGAGTCGAAAACCATCAAGGCTGATGTGTATGCATTCATGCACAGAAACTCCGGAGTAGTTAGTGGCCCATCTGTAAGTATTCTTAATATTCATATTTTCTGTAATTGCATCCCACGAGCTTTGAATGGCTAAAAATTCACTACGATCTGTTTATTCTTCATAGGCCACAACTCGTATTGATACGGTCTCTGAGCTTCTTAGGCCTGTCTCCGAATAACCTATGACGGTATGATTTTCGGAAACTCTAAAGTTAACTAAGTTTCAACTTTAGGCTAACCTTCATTTCCAACCTGTATGCTTCCAACTCTTTTACAATCTCTATTGTAGGTTGGCACCCTTGTGCTTATATTATCTCGTACCGGAGAGAAGAAAGTTGTTTCTGAGGGACTTCTGCTTAGCCCCCCTGCACCAAGTTCGTGGCATTGTGCCTTGAATTTTTTCTTTGAATCCTTCAATATAATGTTCATACTACATTGTCGATGTTGTGACCGTACAGGTCTCATAGTGCAGTTGATTATGGTTTTATTAAGTATGGAGATCTTTAATTTTACATATGTAGCAGTTAGAGTATTTTGTATATATAGATTGTTATTGTAGGGACAGTGGCTATGTTGGTGTAATGCTGATTTTTTGCTGATCTTATATTTTTGATCGCTGACATGACATTGTGTATGGCTATGATGTTATTATACTATTTAGGTGCACACTACAGTCCCAAAACCAACGAATGGTTGCTTTATTATTGAGTATTTGTGTAGTCCCGACCTACACACTATAGGTTTTTATGTGATGAGGATCACCAACATAAATTTTGATTTATCAGTGGTCGTTACTCTGAACTTGAACTCATCTGCGGGGGTCTGCTCATATTTAGTGCATAAATGATAATTAATCTCCAATGGCGTGATACTACAACACATACATGGAGCAGTCCTATTTGGGGGTAACCATAAGGATTTATTAATTATTGAAATTATTATTTTAATATTGTACATGATCTGCTGCTTTACGTAGGTTTTATTGGTGGATGATTGGTTTATAGTTCGAGTTGCAAACGCATTGAAAATTAGAAAGTAGTGTAGCTTGGTGCCTAATTAATGGGTAAAATATCGTGTATCGTAGTACATGTCCGAATGTACATACTCGTGGTACATAAGTTGGGAAATATACACTTCAAATGATTTATGACATATTTATACATACAGTTTAATATGTTGATATATACGGTGAACTACATACTTTTAAATTGCTCTTGTGAATGTTGTAGGTGACACACTTTCCCTGGTCAAGGTTTTCGTTACATCCGCTGCAGTCCCAGACACACCCCTTATTTTGCCGACAATTGCTGGGGCGACTACCTTTCGCGAGATGGTCGATTAAAATTCTATTGAGTGGAACTATAAGGATGTATGGATCTACTTTCACAACTTTCATGTATGGCTTCCAAAATTAAAATAATTATTACTTAAACTAAACCTTATTTTTTTGGTAATTGCAGCTCATGCGCCACCCCTGAAGCATATCGACCGGTTCCTTTATGCTTTGCCTCTGTTTGCATTATCAATTGCATGTCGTGGATCTGCTTGGATGGTAAGTTCTCATGGCTATGTGAAATACCTATGGAATAGATGCATAGACATTTGGATGTATCTTTTGTGTGGTAAGAATTGTTGCTATGGATTGATGGATTTCCCCACTTGCTTATTACTAGGTTGGATATTTGAAATGCTTGTGTTTGGCGGAACATAATGTCGAAGTGGAGATGTTGCTAGCCTTGTTTGATGGGTTAATTTACTTTGTTGTTTGGTGGAGGACATCGACTAGTAAATATTGTTATGTTAATATCCAATGTTGGGATTTCCTTATAGTGTTTATTGTTTTTAATTATGGCCGATCTTTATATTTATAGCATGGTTGTATAAGAAATATCACAACATGTGAATTTGTTACGCACAAATTCAACTTCCACAACTACTCTTTTTTATGAGACGCTATTTTTTCGTAACAAAAATGAGAAATGACGAAACAAAATGTTAGTTTTGGTGTTTGTTGTTACGACCGGTTCTGTGACCATAAGAATGGATATTTTTCTTGAGGGTTCAATGACGTAACAAAAAAATAAATGACGTAACAAAAAATGAAATGATGTAACAAAAAAATGTTTTTGGACGTAACAAATATGAAGGGATATTTTTGTTACGGCCTGTTTCGTGACCATAAGAGAATATATTGTTTATTATGGCTTCAATGACGTAACAAAAAATTGTAACAAAAAGCGTACTCTGACAAGGGATCAAAGTAAAATTTTTTGGTAACGTGAGGCATTGTTGTAACAAATATCGTGACTAAAAGACCTGGCACACGCGTGGAAAGCTCGACTTTTTATTACGAGCAAAAATTTGTAACAAATATCATAACAAAAAGCTTGCCATAAGGATCGTTGACCAAGAGTAGTAGTTACGAAAATGTGCGTGGCAAAAAATATTCGTTACACGAGTACACATTACGGATAAAAGTCGTCACTAAGGCGTAGCAAATACGAAAATTGCATGAAAATTGGCTTTTTGTTAAAAATTTCCGGCCGTAGCAGAAAATAGTTTTTTTGGTAGTGACCCTCACACAATTCTTCGATTTCTCTCACTGGATTTTTTGATAGTTTACCACGGTGTCAATCAATACTGGCAGCCACTTAAATCCTGCATACCCTTTTTTCTTCCATGGAGGCTAGCCGCCGAGAAGTCCAAATTGAGTGATGTCATCGGAACCCAAGTAAGCACAATCTTATAGTCGTAATTATGGATTTTTCCGATATAGAGTTAGAATTGAGAACTCATATAGGAGCTATGGATGAAATCCTAAAAATTTTGAAATAAGATGAGACTCAACGGAATCCCTAATTTTTTTTGTGAGTTCTTTTTTTTTTTTTCAAAACTAGACACAGATTGATGGGATTGTGTCTGATGAAGGATGCTCTTTTTTTTTTTTTTATAATGCTTGTGAGCATTTAGGTTATTTGAATTTTGAAAATAGGTTCATAATTTTGTTGAAAAATTGGACATTCGATCGAATATTAAATTGGGCAATGTGTTGATCAATATATACTCGGGATATGGCTGCATTTGTTATGCTGAGAAAATGTTCAAAAAAATTCCTGAACAAGATATAATAACATGGAATGCTATGATCTCCATGCTTGCAACAAATGTTGCAGGAAAAAAGGATGTCAATTTTTTTTCGAGGATGGAGGACTCGGGGATTCATCTCGATTGGGTGATGTTTACTTTTTTTCTTGTGGTGTGCGTTTATTTGGATATGGCAATTAAAAGATTGGAGTTGGTGAGAATTAGGCAAAATGTGTATGGCGTCGTGCCCAGGATCGAGCAGTTTGGATGCATTGTCAATTTTTTTAAGCCGGGTGGGGCTTTTCGGATAGGCAAAAAGATTGATTCAAAGGATGCCATTGAGGTCGGAGAAGGCGGCAATTTGGAGGGCATTGATGAGCGGGTGTTGTGGCGACAGAGAGGTGGTCGCAGAGAGGGTTGCGGCATTGGAATAGAATAATGAGACGTATGTGCTATCTTCCTAATGTTTATGCAGTGGTGGGGAGACACGGCTAGATGCAGAGGGTTTGAAAGGCGATGAGTTGACAAAATGTGAGAAGACACCGAGATGTAGCTCGACGGAGTTATTCATGATTTTGTTTCCAAGGAGATGACGTATTGTAATGTGAATCTAATTTGTGTGGTTTTGAAGACCATCAAGAATCATTTTAATTATTGGAAGATTCAATTCTAGTTTGAGTACAAATTTATTAAAAATTATATAAAATTTAAGGAATATAAGAGATTGATACATATCATTATATATATGAATTATATAAACTAATCTAGGTAGTAGCAACAAAGGCTTGAAGGATGGATCAACATATATCAATAACAAGGAAACGTAGGCCTCGTTTGGGAGCATGCTTCTTTATATATATATGTATATGGAATTTAGTGAAAAAAATAAGTACTATCGTACATGAACGTGAATTACAGTTCTATGGTCACTTATACATGAACTGTTGATAACAAAGTTGTTTAGATGCTAATAGAGGTACACGAACTGTCAGTCATTGAAAATTATTGAGTTTGTGGGAGTATATAGTTGATATTACGAAGCACATGGGCCTATAGCCTATTACCTACTTAAAAATTGTAATATAATTTTGTTATCTTTTTATATATTAAATGGAAATAAAATAATATTACATTATGATTCCTTATTATCGTAGAAAACTATCGAGGTCACTTTAGGTGATAACAAGTCACATTGTTCAATAACTTGGTCCATCATGTACTCTAACAATCCAACATAATTTAATTTAGTCATTTCTGACTTATTCATCTATAGTAAATATGTGTTTATCTTTTCATACTATTTGGGGTGTCATAACTATCATGATGAATTCATCCATGATTACTGACAACAAATGAATATTTCAAACTAAAAATGGTCGATTTCCCAAGCAAAAATACCCAGGACATATATACTCGTTATTGAAGCATATGACATCAAAATTATAGGTATATAAGATATGTGCAAGAGTATGTATGCATTTGATGCAAGTATGTAAGTATGTGCTTCAGATACAAACACCAATATTCAAGGTATGAATGATAGTATCTTAGGTGTTATCTGTGTAGTAGTAGGTATCCTTAAATGTTTATTTAAGTCAATCCTTTGACAGAATAGCCAATTCACAAACTCGATGAGTACTTCCTCTCCATCTCCGATGGAAAAGTTCGGGCACAGTACATTTACCTTCAAAACTCATGCCATATTTTTCAATAGGAAGACCACAAAACATGTATGAATAACTACCAACATAATTTAACTAAGTCTTTTCTATCTTGTTTATCCATCCATAGTAAATATGTGTTTTTTAACTTTACATATAGTTCTAGGATTCGCGAGAACACTATAATGATGAATTCATCCATTTTTACCGACAGAAATTGAATATTTTGAATTGAGAATGATTGGTTTCCAAGCACAAGTTACCAGGGCATAGATACTCATTACCGGAGCATATGAGATCGTATTATAGGTACGTTAAAAAAACTCCGGGGTAGTTGATATTTAATGAAGTTATGTAAAAAAATGTGTTCTACGTACGAGCATTGACAATCAAGGTATGATTGGTGGTTGCTTAAGTGTTATTAATGTAGTAGCAAGTATCTTTAAATGTGGTTGACTTCGGTAGTCAATTCCTTGATGGATGAGGCAATTAAGGAACTCGGTGAAAATATTTCTTCTATTAGCACTTCTTCACTTCATTGGTGGTTGAGACAAATGGCAGCGATTGGGAGGGCATAAACCTTCGTAGTACATGTATATATATATTTTTTTCTTAATGCACTACTAATGTACTCAAGTATCCGTGAATGCAATTTTGTTCATTGTAGGCATTACTTCAACCATTGCAAGGTCTTGTAATTAATTAGTTAATTTCAATTTAAGAGCAGTATGCATAACTTTTCTGGATCGTTGTTGTCTTCGTACAAGGATAGCATTCCTAAGTAATGGGTAATATTTATAAAAGCATATATATGTATTTTGAAGGTATTTTGATCTAGTTAGACGGGTAGATCGATCCGTTGTAGAGGTACAACATGTGCAT